GCAGTTTCAAGGGAATATTTTTCCTGTATTTTGCTTTCATCCTTTGAGACTGTCTTACACCACTGGCAGCAGCCAGCACTAGGGGAGCACGGCCCCACATCACTTTGCTCCTGTTAACATCCACTACCCACCACAACACCAGTATATTTCTCACAGAGTAGGAGGCATGTACAGCACGTGCTGTGCTCCCACCATTGTCACATCTCCCACTTTTTGATTCAGCTTCTCCAAAGTCCCAGTCAACCAGCGGATATCTAAGCCTGACATTAGCCTTTCCTTCAATTTGCAAGCCAAACAGAGGAGGGGAGGTTTGTTTATTTTCTGTGTCATCAGACAATTAAACAACTGAGCCAGCTGTCGGCGTTTCAGAAGCACCTGTGTGTGAGCCTTCAGTCAGCATTTTGGCTAAGACAAGGTTCTGAAAAACAACCCTTCCCTCAGGGAACACAGTAGAGCCGTGGAGGGAGCTTTTCTGTCACACAAATGAATGGTTTAGGTTGCTTAAAGGATCATCATCAAATATATTAGTGAAAACAAACTTTAATACAAATGCAAAAGTCAGGCAAAGCTCGATGGCAAGGCTTACTCTAATACTGCATGGATAATACATATAAAGGATAACCAATTAGAATCAATTTAGAGTGATTTATATGGAGGTCAGGGATGCAAAAAGGGGTAAGGAAGAAAAGGTTAAGGCAGATTCTCTGGTGGGTCATGAGCTTCAGAGTGAACTCCCTTGCTTGCTAGACTGCTTCTCAGAGAGGTGCCCACACATGGCTGGATCCAATCTTAGACTTGCACAGGGTCAGTTGTTTATGTCTAAAGGATCTAGAAGCACTTAAATGTTAGATTATCCAAGGATCAACTACAAACAGTAATAACAGTGAAGGATCCAAGATAATAACATGCATACTATATTTGCTAGGGGGTGTCCAAGTGAATACAAACCCTGTATGTACTAAGGTAATACACACACAGGCACAGATATGTAATGTATAAGTGCAAAGGTATATGTACTACAGCATTTCCCTCGAGAATCAGTGAAACACTCGTATCTAATGCCTTTTTGGCATTTCTTAATGGGGTTGAGCTGGGGTGTTGAGCCTCAAGTACTGGGATATCAGTCCAGGTTCTGTCACCAAGTGACACTTCTCTGAATTTCACAAACTTGAGAGTTTGGGCCCTCTGAGAGGTGTCCACACAGAGGGAAATACTAGTGCAGCCCACTGCAGTCCAGAAGAGCTCCAAGGGTCTGTCTTAGGACCACTGGCTTTAGGGCCATGAGATGGTTGGCTTAAGCCATCAATATATTTTCATCCTGGCAGCAATCTGGGTTATTACTGGAATTTATGAAATTCCAGTGAGGATGGTACTGTTCCACTTGAGCTACTTTTCAGATAAGGAACATTCCAAGGCTGTCAGGGGTGACTATTCCTGCTGTCATCTCCCACCTTGATAAGGCAGCAGGAGTTCCTGGTACGGACAGTACTGCCCCCCCACCTCCACTTTCCAAGAGTTCCCAGTAGGATCAAGAGATGCTTCACCACCAGTCTCTTGTGGAAAGGCCTGAGTGGGCCAGAGGAGGTGGGGGAGGGATGAACCAATGCACTCACACTTGCTTTCCTCCTTGCCAAACAAGGTTGGGCTTCAAGGAGATGAAGCCTCTCCTCTGCATAGACCTTGCAGCCTGGAGAGTCAAATGATTTCTTGGTCGGTGGGACAGCTGGTCTCCTTTGAGCATTTGAAGAACTGGATTTGGGCTTCTCACATCCCATGTTGCTGTGACTACAAGAAGAGCAATCCCACTTTAATGTGTGCTTCCAATAAAAAAGGCTCAAAGGGTATTTTTGAAATAAAGAAGAAGAGGCAGCTGAACTCCAGGGAAAGACTCCAAGAAACAACACACTTATCTACAGAGGTAAAGCCCCTGAGTAGCACTGGCTACCCTGCTTCTGAAAATCCCTCTGTAATCCTGGGTGGGCACTTTTTTTCCTGTGTGGTGAGTGTATCTGCACAGTGTCAGCACTCCAGGAATAATCACAGGACGAATTGACACAGAGATTTGCAGCAGGATAATTGCCTCAAACAGAAGGATAAATAGCTTTTTCTGGCATTTAATGGGCCTCTTAAGTGAATGGCAATAAACTCTATGCGAACAGCTGTTTTCCCTCTTTTTCGTCCTTTTGCATCTCATCCATAATTATGCACTAAAATGTTCTTGTCTGGGTTGCTGAGAGCAATCTTGTTGCTGTTTGTCTTTGCCGTGTAAGGCTGAGCACTTCAGCACAAAGATTGAGTAAAAAGCCCTGGATTCCTAAAGGCTCTTGCCACTATATATCAGTGATCATCTTCTTTGCTTCGTGTTTAGCCTGAGGGAGAAGTGAGAAGTTAAGGGGAAAATTTGTCTCTTCTAGCTGCTGCTCTACATGTCCCACTGTTGAGGTGTCCCCCTGCAGGTCTTGGCGTCCTGGGCTCCAGCTAGGAGGTTCCTTTGCTTGCCTGGCTTCTGGCATTGACCCAGCTACAGTTCAGGAGAAGCCACAGCTTCAATTTTGCCTTGCAGGGAAGGTAAGTGTCCTATGAGATACTCCTCCCCACTCTGTGCTGACTGGACCATGGGGAGATAGCAGAGCAGGCTTTCCTCTGTAGCTGGTGGCTCTGCCTCCAGCTTTGCCGACAGGAGAGTAGGAGGGACAAAGCAAGCCTTGCAAAAAAGCCTTTATGCTTTCAGAAACGTGTACTTCATCTGGTGACAGAGTACAGAGAAATGACCTTGTTCCTGAGGAAATTCAATACATTCTGGCAAAGGGATCTCCTAACAAGGAGCCTGTGAGCAAGCCAAGAGCTAGGGCACAGCCACAAGCATTAGCCCAGCTGAGTGTTCCTCACTGGAAGGAAGAGGAAGAGGTGTCGGTAGAGGTGTCACAAACCCATTCTGTCCTTCTCAGTGCATCTTCGAAACGTCCGACTGGCCTTTGCTTCCCACATCCAAAACTGAGGATGGAGGCACACATGCTGCAGGGAGGCACATGCTGAAAGGATGAGCCCTGTGGTAGCACCTAACCTACATACAAACTCTTGGCTGAGGAGGTTATTCCACTTGGGATCAATGCCGGTGTCTCTGCATCATTGATGCTGCTCCACATGACATTGAGGAAAACTGCTTGGAAAAGAGCCTGCGGGAAGAACACTGAGTTTTATCCTCACCGTCTGCTCCTAGACAGGCTGCTCAGCTGCAGGGGAGCTGTGGTATCTTTTCTGCTGAGGGCAGACCATTTCTCTCCTCCTTGTTAGGATTGTATCTAAGACTTCAAAATGCAACCAGATGGAGGAGAGGACTGGCTGACCACATGGTAATAGCTCAGAAAAACAACCTTTTTGTTACAGATAAAGACTGAATTAAAAATGTCCTGAAAAAATGAGATGCTTTCCCGACACATGGATGAGACCTTTATTATAGGTGGATGCATATTATTAAATTGGCCTGCATACTGGTCCTGAACATTTTGGAAAGCCTCGTATCCCAGGAAAGCTGCTTTTCATCCACCAGGTCTCAAGGATGCTGCCAGACACTCCCAGCTTTTATTGTTTCCTATTGCCTTTAATGATGCATAAATTGTCCAGACACACGCCAGTGTATTGAACAACATTGAAAGACAGACCATGGAAAAAGTGAATAGTATATTAATTATGGGTCTTAATTTGTTTGTGAATCTTTTACCTGAAACATTTTGCTACTGTTCCTCTTCCTGTCAGCCCCAGTGCTTTGGCTTGCACCTCATCCCCTCTTGGAGACCCCTTTTCCCTGAGTGCTTCCCTAATGAAGGAAGGTTTCTCTCAGTGACATCTGCTCCATTGTTCCAGTGCTGTTGCCATCCCCTATATAAATACTTCGGCATTTGTAGTGTTCTATATAAGCCCATTAAAAATATGTAATAAAAAGGATTATATAATTTCTTAAAGCCATCATTACTACTCTAGCTGTGGTGTTTTGTCAAATTCTGACAATTATAGATTAATCCCTATGCCAAATTACACTTTTTAATGAGAGATATTCATCCTTGAGCTTAGAAGTCTAAAAATGTAAGTCAAATTTATTGCATCCAAAAAAAGGCAGAGAGCTGAAGCCAGAACAACACTTAGGTAATCTTTAAAACATACAGAAAATAGGATTTTTAATAGAAACACAGGGTAATTTATAAGCAAAGCTGGACATCTGCCTAGGATTACAATACAGATACAGGGGAAATACAGATGATGAACTGATATCACAAAAATCTTTGTGCAACAGTATGTGAACTGCATGTGAGCCATCACTACTTAATTGCTCTAAACTGGAATGTCTTTTTTTAATAGTTCCTGTAAACTGGAATGTCTTTTTTTGATTTTCATACTAATATCTCTTCAATAGAATTTCCAGCCCTTATTTTAAAAAGTAGGCAGTGTTTTGCTTGTTCAGCATGATTGGACAATTTAGTAAAAGGCAGGCTGTAAAAGCACTGTTATTCCTATCCAGGACTGAAACACAGCTTCTGGAGGCAACAGTTGTATTTTGTAGATATCCCAAGGATTAGGGTTAAATAAATAAAGTTGAGGCCCAGGATTAGCAGAGAGCTGCAAAGCATCTTGTCCCAAAGGGCCGTCTCATTTTTATTCTTCTTCCTGCAGCGAATGTGTGTGCACAGGTACAGGTGCGTATGAGAGCAACCACACAAGGGTGTGACTCACAGGTAAACCTTGAGCTATAATCCCCTCTCCAGGCCAATAATTATCAACCATCTCTTCCGTCAAATTTGGAGCATGCGGCAAGGCTGTGCTGTTCGATTCCCTCTGTAGCTGGAGGGAAAGACAGCTCCTGCCTGTGCCTCGTGCTGTGCTGCTGAACAGCAAGATCAATCTTGTGTTAAGCTGCCTAAACAGCCCACGAGCTTGATGAGAGCTAATGGGAGACTGCATGAACATATATTTTTTAGTTGTTATCTGCAAACTTACCAGTGGCGAGCTGAGAAGCCGTTTTAATGATTCACACGGCTTTGCCTTGACAGCTGTTCAGACACGTATTTCTCAGCAGCAGTAAGTGGGTAATAGACCAATACAGCCAATTTACTTCTCTGTTGCTAACATTTGAAAGATAAGACAGAGAGATTATTTCATAGTTTTCAGTGGGATTTAAGGCATGGAAAGGAGTAAGGGCTATACCTACCTGGCAGAGCTGTGTACAGGCTCCACAGAGGTCTGTCACTTGGTGCATAAAGAATTATTTCTAGGATTTTGCGCTGCAATTTCAAGGAACAGAACTGAAACAAGGCTTGCACAAAAGCCATCACTGAGAAGTCACCCAGGGAGCTACAGACTTTTAATTCCATGTTCCTCAGGGCTATGGCAGAGCTTTCCCACATAAATACACAAGGCAATGATCTGGGCCTGGACCAAAGCTCTGACTGCTCCAGACTCAGGATCTGAGGCACACACATCTTCTGTGGGAAGGACACACTGTGCTTGTGGAAGTTTCAACACAGAGCATCTCTGTTTTCAAGTGCACGGAACAACGTCACTCCGATTTTTGAAGCATTAGTCAGGAGTGTAGGAGGAAGGAGGGGGAAAAAACCTTCCTTTGCTCTGTCCTATAGATTTTGGCAAGTGGATCATATCAAGTCCGGAGCACAAAGTCAAAAAGAGTGTTTTTATTCATTTACTCATTTTATAGGAGGAAGGTTTGACTTGTATTAACAGCCCTTGGAGAATCCTAGGGAATCCTTGTGGTGTTTTTCCTGCCTGGGGTTTAATTTTGCAGAGGGATTGAAGCAGACATTTTAACTAGCCAGAAGATAAACAGAAGCCCTGACAGTGGGTGGAGGCAGAAGATGAATGGGGTAGGCAAGGTGTTTGAACTGAAAATGGCCATAAGAGAGAGAAACATTAAATAACAGCTGCAAAGGAGAGATTTCACTACCAACAATATCCCAGGCAAGAGGTAATTTGTAAGCAGCAAAGATAGCACTGAAGCAATGAAATTTCATTTGTGTTAAACTTTTTCCTTCTAGAGGTTTAGCACTGTGCTCTTACTACAGACAATTTTATAAATGAGAGAGGAATTTTAACAGTTTAAAGACTTTTCCAGGAGAAACTGAGGGAGCTGTAGCTCTGTGGTACCTACATAAAAAGTAGATACTGCAAGACTAACATCTGATTTTGGTTATCAGGGCACGAAGCTCTCTGTTCTCAGCAGAAATTGCACGCTCACATTCAGAGTCGCTGTTCCAGTTACTCCTTGCGTTTCATGGTGGCAGTTTGTGCTCAGCTGGATCCAGCTTGATGAATGTTCCTCTAACACCATCCATCTTGCTTTAGGACAGCAAGGAGGGGAGGTTATTTGCTGCCTGACTCAGTGAGAGAGCATGTTTTGCAAAAGATATGAAACTTTGCAGAAGCTGTATTTCCCAGCAATCACCTCAAAAAGGCCCATCCTCCAGCTGGAGTTTCATGCATTATGCTAAAATTCTAATTTGCTCTACTTCTCAACAGGCTTTGCTCACACACACTTTGCAGCCAATTCCTGGGGGAGGAATTGATTTATAATACACTTGTTAAAATGAAGAAGTGAGACTGTTTAAGTGACTTTCTTAATTCTCACTGATTATCATGCTAACCCTGATAAGATTTCTCATTGTCCCTGAGATTTCCTGAGATCATTCTCTACCATTGTTCTTTTATTCTCTATCTTTAGAAACACTCTTTTGTGTTTTTAACAGGCAGACTTACATTCATAAGAAATTGCAGGACAGGGGAGCTGGGAGGAAGCACGAGAAATTAAACTGTTTGTTAAAACACAAAAGGAAAATGAAAACACTGAGTTAAATTAGTGAAGCATTCTTTATCAGGACCACTCCTGCATATCCACAAACTGGGGCTTATCAGCTTTCTAAGGAAGGGAATATTTTGTACAAGGTCAGTACTTACAGCTCAGTGATGACAAGAAGAGCGGCTGGATTCAAGTATTTGAGCTTTTTGCTGAAACTACACAGTGAGAGAAGAACAACAAATGAAACTCTGATGCTAAAACCAAGAAAGACTTTGTGGTTTCTATTCTGCTCAGGTAGACCGCTTTTATCTGAGTATGCATTGTTCAAGCTTTTAGGAAAGCTTTGATTTCTCAAGGATTAAACTTCAAGAGAGAGTTTTAAAATGTATTTCTGCACTTTATATTTCTGGAGTCAACCTCCCTTCAAGATTTCCTCCATAACCATACACACACAAACTTACATTTCAATAGGACCTTCATATACCCTCATTTATTGACTAGGTGCTGATAGCTTAAAACAACATTTGTGCAAAGAATTTTGTGAAATAGTACCCCTGCATTTAATATTCCTGAGGTATGTCTAAAATCTTTCTTCTCTGAACAGCAACATTAGTTTTGTCCTCCATATGAACGTTGCCATTTCACAGAGGAGCAAAGTGATGCACTGGCAGCCCTGCAAAAGCCCAAGTGACCTTCTGCTGATGAACTCCAGGTGATGCTCACACATGGAGCCAGGTACATGTCTCTTAAGTTGATGTCAGTCATGATTGGTGCAGTTACACTCTCCCTTTTCCCTTGTAAATGAGTTCCTTCCTGACACAAGCACCAGGACATGTCTGATCCATTTGTGAGCCACCTAAGCGGGGTGGAAATAGGAAAAGTATGTGGTTGTCAGAAAGATCCACTTCCAGAGCCAACTGGCTTCCCTGTGGCAAACATCTGAGGCTGTCCCATGTTGGCTGCAAGGTGATCAAAAGATAGAATATCAACAAATGTGTCTAGGTCTATTAGGAAACTGCTCCAGATAGGTTTTTTTTTGAGTTAGTTTTCATCTGTGCCAGGCCCTGTTTTGACTTAGTTGATGACCATGGAGCCACCTTCCTGCTACAGGAAAGGCAGGTAGGACTGACACTTACACCCTTCCGAGAGGGGCCTACATTTACAGTGTTTTAAAACAACCATGGAATTGCTCTAACCTAATTGAGAACGACAGTTTGCCTAAAAAATAGAAACAGCAATGTTTAAATGGCAGGGATCATGCATCTCACCTGCCAGTGCATCTGTGCTTGGAGCTGTGCTGAAATCCCACTTCCCCAGACAGATCATTGCTCCCTCCCGTATCTTCCTACGTGCAGCTCCTCCATCTTGCTGCCAGCAGATCAGGTTGCTTGGCTGCTGGCACGCTCCTCTTCTGCCAGCGCTCCTCTCTGACCTGCTCTCCCAGCAGCAGCCAGGTCTGGCTCTGCTCCAGGCTGTGAAGAGACAGAAGAGGTCAGAGAGGAGTAGTGCAACCTGCTGCTGAAGAGAGGACAGCAGAAAGAGCTTGGTGCAGCAAGCCTTCCAGAAGACAAGGCAGGGACACTGGAAGCACAGAACTGCTCGCAGGAGACAAGAGTCACAGCCCCTCTTCCCTACTGTCAAAGAAACGGGGAGTAGTCATGTATCCAAGTCCTGCTTATCCCACCTGGAAATATATTTATTACTCACTGAGCTGCAAATTGGTTGCCATTGCCTGGTCCCTGTTCCCACAGAGCTTGCCTTCTGTCATTGACCCTGCCCCCCAGCTGTGCTTCTGCTTCAGAAAACCCCACCAGCCTCCGCTCCCTGCTCATGCCTTAGCCATGGATAAGTGTTGTGCCTTGGGACCAAAGCCCTCCTGAGCTCTTCACAGTTCTTCATAGTGTGTCCCCATTGCAAAACAAATGCAGGGCCTCCTGTGCTCCCACTGAGATGAGCAGGATTTGTCCCCTGCACTGTCTCTCAGCTCGTGCAGATCCATTCCTTCACTCGTGAAACCAAGGATGTGTCATGAAAATCATCAGGATGGTGTGACTACCCAGGAGAGAGGCTAGGAGGCAAAGTATAAACTTAAAAAAGTTACTCATAAGCACAAGGTGTTGCAGCCACAACTGATGTTTTGCGCAGGCTTCTCACACCCTTCAAAAGTTCAGGACCAACATGATTTAACAGGTCACTAACAGCCACACCACTGGTTACTAATCACAGTAAAACTTTCCAAAGCAGGTCTATTTTTGCAGCATTCTTGCTGCTTGTCTATTGATCCGGATGTCCCTGGAGTCAGCCTCGCTAGAGTTAGTTATCTGTACTGCCAGAGATACGGGCGGGAGAAGGCAGGGGGGTTTCAAAGACGTGTCAGAAGAACTAGGACTTTGGTGTTATCTTGGCTGTCCAAAGTCCTTTATCCTTCACAGGCACTTCTAACCTTACAGGAAGGAAAGTCCTTACTTCCAGGTCCGGGCTGTCCTTTTGTTTGACTTCAACATAAACAATCCCTAAGACTCCAGTAAAATTTCACTACCTCGTGACATTACAGGGTATAATCTCAACTAATACGTACCTTAACAAGTCAGCACACTTCCATCTTATAGAGACGGGCTGATACAATAGTTAGGGCAGGAGTTTGTGTCCTCTCTCAGGCCCGCTGACACGCACCTGTGGCACACAGCAGCCCTGCGGCGGGGCGGGGGGGCGGCAGCGCCGGGCAGGGCAGCCCCCGACGCCATGCCCAAGGAGCGGCCGCTCTGGCGGGGCGCCGCTTTCCGCCTCTGCCTGCTCTCCGCCGCGCTCTTCCTCTGCCTGCAGCTGGGCATGAGGCGATCCTGGTGTCCGGAGGAGAAGTCCCGGGACCCGGCGGCGGCGCGGGCGTGTGGCACACAGCGGCGCGGCCCCACGTTCCTACCGGGCATTGCCCCCGCCGAGGCGCGGAGCATCCCTCGGGCCGCCTGCGGGCGAGCACCGCTGCGTCCCGCGGCCCCCGCCGGGCCGGGACAGGGGCATCCCGGCCCCTCCCCGGCCGGCCCCGCTCGGGGCGGGGACTCCCAAGTTTCGGCCGGGGGGTGGCCGTCGGAGGGTCACCTACGTGCGGAGCGGCCGGCGGGGCAGCGCCGCGCCCGCCTGCTGCGCCCCGCAGCCCCCGGGCAGCCGCCGCAGGAAGGTAGGGCGGGCTCGGGGGGAGGCGACAGGCGAGCCCGGCTCCCTGCGAGGGGCTGAGGGCGAGCGGCACCCGGGGCGGAGATGGGGTTGGTACCTGAGAAGAGGCGGCCGGGAGGGCGGTGGTGAAGCGAGGTGGTGTGGTGAGATGTCGACTTCTTGGGAAGTGGTCAAGCGAGTTTTTGAGCGGTGCTGCTCAGCTGCAGGGAAGCGGGAGTGTGCTGGAGTCGGGCTGGACAAGGTGGGAGCTCGGCCTGAGAAGGTGACAGTGACCCCGAGTCAGGGTGGGCTCCGCAGGCTGACCATCCCCAACAGGATCAAACTTGAGCAAAGACCGCGGCCCTTGGCGTTCTTGGCATCCGAGTGCCATTGAATTCGTAGAAGGCCATCAAGAAATTGTTCTGAGACCTGGTCTGCCTGAGAATTGTGAGTTAGTGGACGAGCTGGTAAATGAACCTGTGACAAGGTTCCTCGGTGGCAATGGCTGTAAAGCCTTTTGGGAGAGTGAGGACAGTCGTTAGGATCTGGAGTTCAGCAAGAGTGAGGAGTGCCTGTGCTACCCCCACCCCCAGGCAGCTGCGTGTGTGGCCAGTAGCGGGATGTTGCCTTCTTCAATGATCTCCGTGTCGTCCTTGGTTTTTGCAGATTCCACACTCTCAGGAACGGGTTGGAGATTCAGATAATTATTTAGTGGAATTTTCTTTGCAGTCTTTCAGACGGAGAAGAGCCAGCTTTGAGGGCAGCGAAGAAATGGTTTATGTACTTTGGGGTCCTGCTGTCAGGGTGCAGTAGAGGTGGTCTGTGCAGAGATGTGCAGGTTCTTAAAGAAGCTGTAATGATCTTGAGGAGGCGCACATGGGATTTTGCTAGAGATGAGACCACCTTTATGGTCAAAGTAAATAACTATTTCTGATCTTTGCCTCAACAAGAATAAACCAGTCTTTTGTGGAATGGCTAAAGCTTGTCCTTACTGCCTCGATGAAAAGACTACCTGCTAACATCCAAACCACCACCTGACCAGTGGTCTCTCACAGGTCATGCATGTGGTCTCAACTGCAAATCTGCTTTCTTTTCTTTGCCTCTTCAACCCCAGTAATTATTTTTTTATTTCATGAGGAGATGGACAATGAACTCATATATAGACTGACTTCTAGGCTTGGCTCATTTTCTGTGGGAAACTGTGATGTAAAAAATAAATGGCTGCTTTCTGCTTCTGGTTTCCTGAAAGGTTTAGAAGAAACTATATAATCCTTCACCACGCTTCCTTGACAACTGGCAGTGATATGTGAGGACAACATTGCCACATGTTTGTTCAGAATAATAACTATGTGGTGTTCCTTTGTGCCATGGTATTGATACCACTTTGAGGTACCTAGGTCTTGCAGTGTCAGTTTTTGTGACTTTTGTTGTTGATGCTCTATTACTCAGCATTATCCTAAAGTGCAGCTTTTATGTGATTCTAATAATGGAAGAATTTCAGCATTTATGGAGGAAAAAGCCTGTAATCCTGTGGATTCAGAGAGTTTCTTGAAAGTATGCTAAGAGGCATACTTTCAAAAAACAAGAGGCAAAAGCAAAACACATCCTAATTTAGTTAATGGTTTTTGAGGAAATCCTAGTGGGGAAGTAGAGGAGAGGATGCTCATTTTACCTGAGAATTGGCAGCACCTTGCGGTGTTGGAGAGCTCGAGGCTCTGGAAAGCCCAAGTGTGTTTTGGTGCACCTCCAGGTGAAATGTGTGAAAGAAACATCACTGCTGTGGTTTGTGGTGTTGGGCATGTTGCTGCTGAAGTCTCATTTGAAGCCCTCTAGTTAAGTCAAGGGAAAAATATTAGTATATATAATAGAGGGTGGAGTTGTTGCCAGGTTAAGTTTGAGACCATCAAGTGACTTCTGTGTTCAGCTATTTGACTTGAACTTGTTGCTTTAGGCTAAGAAAAATCCACGTAAAGACAGGGTTTGGGGGATAGAAGAATTGAACTTTGGAATGGAGTTGTTAAATAAAAATATAGAGGAAAAACAATGGTAAAATAAAGTGAAAGTAAGTGGTCTGTGCTCTGACATCTTTTCATTAGAAGAATCACAATATCTAAAAAAATTAATGGGTGATTTATAATTTTTTTTTTTAATCAGGAAACATGGTATTTCACATCAGACTATTGTATGACAAGATGAGGGCATTTACCAAAAAAGGCTGCTTAAGTTGATGGTCCGTGGCTTCTACCAGCAGCTCTGGAGAAAGGTCAGGGTGCAACAGCTGCCAGCGGGCTCATTTTCTGTGGGAAACTGTGATGTAAAAAATAAATGGCTGCTTTCTGCTTCTGGTTTCCTGAAAGGTTTAGAAGAAACTATATAATCCTTCACCACGCTTCCTTGACAACTGGCAGTGATATGTGAGGACAACATTGCCACATGTTTGTTCAGAATAATAACTATGTGGTGTTCTTTTGTGCCATGGTATTGATACCACTTTGAGGTACCTAGGTCTTGCAGTGTCAGTTTTTGTGACTTTTGTTGTTGATGCTCTATTACTCAGCATTATCCTAAAGTGCAGCTTTTATGTGATTCTAATAATGGAAGAATTTCAGCATTTATGGAGGAAAAAGCCTGTAATCCTGTGGATTCAGAGAGTTTCTTGAAAGTATGCTAAGAGGCATACTTTCAAAAAACAAGAGGCAAAAGCAAAACACATCCTAATTTAGTTAATGGTTTTTGAGGAAATCCTAGTGGGGAAGTAGAGGAGAGGATGCTCATTTTACCTGAGAATTGGCAGCACCTTGCGGTGTTGGAGAGCTCGAGGCTCTGGAAAGCCCAAGTGTGTTTTGGTGCACCTCCAGGTGAAATGTGTGAAAGAAACATCACTGCTGTGGTTTGTGGTGTTGGGCATGTTGCTGCTGAAGTCTCATTTGAAGCCCTCTAGTTAAGTCAAGGGAAAAATATTAGTATATATAATAGAGGGTGGAGTTGTTGCCAGGTTAAGTTTGAGACCATCAAGTGACTTCTGTGTTCAGCTATTTGACTTGAACTTGTTGCTTTAGGCTAAGAAAAATCCACTTGACAGGGTTTGGGGGATAGAAGAATTGAACTTTGGAATGGAGTTGTTAAATAAAAATATAGAGGAAAAACAATGGTAAAATAAAGTGGAAGTAAGTGGTCTGTGCTCTGACATATTTTCATTAGAAGAATCACAATAGCTAAAAAAATTAATGGGTGATTTATAATTTTTT